CCCCTCAGTGGATCCCATCGCGCTGCCCGGCTGGGAAATAAAGCACATGAATGATGCTTTTGTGTGCATGTGTGTGCTCCTACATGTATGTGCTCACAGAAGACAGGGAGAGGAGTTCATTATGAGAGATGTTTTTAGAGCAGCCAAGTGGTCAGACGACTTGTTTCCTGGCTCAAGAGTTTGAAAGATATTACCACCAGAGCACTCACACTTTCAAAACAAACCGTCCTCCTCTTCCTCCTCCTCTGCATCTTTCAGTGACACCATGTCTGACTGCTGTCCTCAAATGTATACCCACAAAAGCCCCTCGAGCCATCGTTTTCCATTTCTAAATGCCCAAAATGTCTCCTCTCTTCTGCCAAGTTAGGCTCCTTCAGCGCGGAGTCAAACTGTGGAGGAGTTGTCGCAGGTTTAGTATTCAGAAAACAAGTTCAAAATCAAAATGAATCACTCCGAATTATGTAAATGTAACAGAAAATACATATTCAGAGATAACTACTGCCATCGCTTACAGATTAAAATGCTATGACGGAGTGTGTGCCGAGTATAATGGCGGCAGTCAAACTCATTATTGTTTAGAGTTTAATGAAAAAGGTCAGGCCACACATGCACATACACACACACACACACACACACACACACACACACACACACACACACACACACACACACACACACACACACACACACACATGCATGCACACACAGGACCGAGCCGTGATGACTCTCCTGTGCTGATGTGTCCCAGTTATCAAAGCTCCTGGTGGAGTAGAAATTCAAATATCACCACAACCACCACCACCACCACCACCACCCCCCCACCCTGTTCACATTGACCCAGAATTAGTCGGTCATTCTGCTAGAAAAAGAACAGCCGTCGCCTAAAAAAACATGTTCTAGAAGCAATTGTTAAACGTTTGCACAGAAGTCTTTGAAACATTATGATTCAGTTAAGAGTTAGGGAAAGGCAGATGAAACACTCAATTAAAAGCAGAGCCGGAAGAGAAACTGAACAGCAAAAAGACTGAGACAGGAGGGACGACAGGTGTGATGGAGACAGAGGAAAGGGTGAAGGAGAAGCTGAGTATGAAAGCGAGGAGGTGGCAGCAGAGTTTAATGGAAAGAAGTGAAACTAAAATGACAGGCGATACCACTCCCCCCCCGGAACGAAATCTGCCCATTAGCCAGACTGCAAGGTCAATTATACGCACCCACATGTCCACAGTGGATGTCCACTAAAGTTATGATACCAGTCAGATCTTTAACTTTCAAAAAGATAAGGCTGCATTCGTTTTGTGGATTTACTACAAATAGTTAAATGTGCCTTAAAAACAAAGAAAACCTTGAGCTTGAAGTTTTACAGTTTTTCCGCCAGCGAGAAATGAAGCAGTGACAGAAAACATTTGCAAATGAAATCCGTGTGAATCTCGGCTTTGTTTCAGCACTGAGATAAAGAACATAGAAAACAAAGAGTTTTGTTTTTCTGACCACCCATTCTGGAGAACTTCAAAGTTGTTGTTCCTGCCACTTGGCTGGAATTAGCTTGAAAATTATCTTGTTATTTTTGGGGTTTTTTGCAACAAAATTTCAGGTGATCGTGACCATTTTGAAGATCCATTTACAACGTATGCATCAACAGCTCTGCATAATAGCCCCAATAATCTGGTTCCAAATTCTTTATCGTAGTCGTTACTGCTGGTAAAACGGTTTCCTAAATCATCAAAGATCTGCTCCTTCCACTGAATAACTTTGATGCAGAACTCTCCAGTATTTAACACTTTCTCATGAATGTTAAGCAAAAACATGCACGTTCAGTAGGCTTAACTTTAACAATGACTAGTGCATTGATAGGTCTTCATTTCAGAGGTGTACACTGCAGATTGAAAAATATTGAAACTAAATCTGTGTTTGCATGACTAATTTTTCTTCTTAAAGCCGGGGGTGGGTGGCTGCTGCAGGTTCAAGCCATAGACCTTAATGTGCATGCTGATAGACACGATCCTTGGAAGTCCATTGTGTTGAAAGAGGTAGTTCTGCAAGCCTGCAGTTAATGCGATTTGTTACAGTGGCAATTTTGCTAAAAATGTGTGCCACTTAGGGAACATTTTGTCACTTTTACCAAAAGTGCTGTCAAAGGAAATTGCTTAGTCCTAAATGGCAATATTTCCAAATTCAGTAATTTAAATAATATTTGAAAATAAGCCACAAAAACAGTTTTAATGTAATTCAGTGGTCTTTTAAAGTATGCATGATCACTTACCAAAGACTGTATATTCAGATGGATGTAGTAACAGCTGTCAGGGAGTGAGGCCAAGAGATTTAGAGCTCCCCCTACTGAATGGCTGCAGTACAGGTCATAAACCCCGCCTCCTCCAACAGATGTGTCATGGCTGATTCATGTCACAGTGTTCATTTTTCTCAGTTTTGTTTTACTTATTCATTTCATTCAAAAAAAGTCACAATTGAGAGCTCTGTTGGCAAATGAGGCTCCTCATTGTTCGCAACCGGATAGGCAGAGTAAGCAGAGTAAACGTGAAATATAACAGTCCATAAACTTTCCATAAACAGGAAACTGACACAAGAAGAATCTATTCTGGTGTGGACTGTATCGCCCTTTGTCGTTTTATTATAAATGTGTGTTTCGGTTAGTGGAAGGGGCGTGGCATCATTTCCACGGGTCCCCCAGCTCCAATCTCTTCATGTCTCTGCTCCTAATTATGTACCAGCGCAATATGTCACCGCCCGCTGCAGGAGGATTTAGGAATAACTTACAATGGGGGTTATAACTATCTTATTTCCTTTTCTTTGCCTGCTCTTTGTATGACTCTTCTCAATGCATCGATATGGAGTGCATAACTGGAGGCGCTTTTAAAGCTTCTTTTCCTCAAAGGTCCTTCTGCTCCGTCTTTGTGAGGTGGGCAGATAATTGTCTTGGTAGAGACCAGAGAAACACACATTAGCTTTGATTAGCTCAGCCCCAGAGGTACACACACCTGATGAGAGAGCGCTAATGAAAATAATATATTTACAGATCTGGGCTGCACTGTGATCCCGCCTCCTATTCCCCCTCTCTCCAGCCTGTCAATCCCCTCACATATAACACATGTACTGTACGCACACACACACACACACACACACACACACACACACATGCATGCACACACAGGACCGAGCCGCACACACACACATAAACATTCACACAGTCATCCGGATTTGCCTGTACATGGGTAAATAGATGGGACTCGCCAAGACCTGCAGCAGCCTGTTGCTAGGTTACCTGTTTAGTGAGTCTTTCTCATCCTGGGTAACAAACATCTCCTCTGTTGCTTGGTGCACATACACACACACACACACACTCTCTCACACACACACACACACACACACACACATATACAGGCAGCACCCAAACATTGTCCGTCTCTGCGTGGACAGAAAGAGTCTGTTTTATGGGTTTAATCACAGCGAGAAAGGTTGTTGAGTGGAGGAAAGAGGGGAAACTAACTTGGCCTTTACACCCCCTCCCTCTCCGCCCATCTGCCTTTACAGACAGCAAACAGATTGATGGATGAGTGGATAATAGCTGCACCCGGGAATTGTTTGTTCTGTAAGGGGGATTTTTTTTTAAGATTGTGGTCAAAGGAGAAAAGTTTGTAAGAATGTGCAGACGTGTCATTGTTGTGAAGAAATGGGAGGACATTGATTCCTGAGAGCAAACACGACAGACAGAGAAGAATAAAATGGAAAAGGATGAAACAAATGTTTACTTCCATTTGCATAGTTAGGAAGGTACAGGTGCAGTGATATGTGTCTGCTTTGCTCTTTAACTCTTTAGCTTTATATGAGCAACAAAACAGATAGTTGTGACTTTAAGGATGAAAGTTAGTCACATGACACGGCTCTGATTTTTTGGGAGAAGTATTGAACGTTCATCTGATCGAACAGCAGAGGAGAAAGGTAACAGTTGTGCGAGCTGGTTCATGACGTACCTAGAGAGTAGAGGGATGTACAGTTTTCTTCTTTTGTAGTATAACACACTTTGTCCTTCAGTTTCTGCGTTAGTGTATAAAAAGAACTTCTTTCAATCAAAGAGCAGACGTGGGAAGAAACCAGTACAGTACTTAGTTGCTGTGTGAATTTCTCTGGTGTCTTTACTTCAGTGTTAATGCCTCTGACCACTTTTTAACTTCTCTGTCTACATCTGTCATTTCTATACCTCTCATTTTCTTGAGTGAAGCCTTTGGTGTATCCATGAACACATATCGAGTGCTACTGATGACAAAGTGAAAAACCTACAAATAATTCATTAAAATAACTACAGTGTCTATTTTAACAAGAGCTAAGAATGTATCAGGTGTATTATTTCCACAACTTATAGCTAATAAGATTGTCAAATCAAAACATCAGGGTCCAACATGCTGTGATAGTAATCATTTTTTAAGTGGAAATTAGTACTATGACAGTCAAGGCTTTTAAACCATATTTGTTGTGAATGAATGAGTGAATATTGGATCCATAATGAGAACTTTTCCATATGTTGTCAAAGGTTTAAATTAAAAAAAAGTCAAATACTGCAACCTTTTATTCCAATAACATTTGTTTTTTTCCTGGCAGGAAATGTTTCTGGACTTAAGACGTAAAGTTATTATATTAAATATTTAAATGATTAATTGACTGTGCTGACTTAAACTCAAGGAGTTGAAGGTGCTAAATAAATGCAACACAATGATTAGAAGGGCTTGTAGTGACACAGAAAGCAGGATTTCCAACCTAAAGACTTATTGTTTGAATAGCAGTGAGTGTCATTAATTTGCATATCTATATTTTGTCTTTCATGGAATGCACTGAGAGATTAAAACTTTTCACTGATGAGTAATTCAGTCTCACAGGACTCAGATACCACCTGTGCCACCTGCTCCCCCCACCCCTCATGTTTAATCTCCCTCTTTCCTCACCCTCTCTCCCCTCTCTCTCTCTCTCTCTCTCCCTGTCGTTCTCTACAGTAAAAAACTGCTCCTACTTCAAACACTTCACCTCGGGGGAAGAAGCGGAAGTTTTTGAAGTCAAGACCCAGAAAGGTGGGTGTAAAATACACACAAACACTACAACCAGGTTTCCTACTCATTCCTACCTTCCATAACTCATTTGCAAAAGGAATTGAGAAAAATATGTTAATGCAAAAATAGTGTACTGCATGTGTTCAGAATAACAAGCAAGCGTTTGAGCACAAATTGAGCTTTGTGCACACTGGCCCATGAAATCTGCTCCAATGTTCTGGTGTTTTTATCTTCTCATCTTCTCGGCTTCAAGATTGCCGCTTTCAAAGAAAATGTGTTTCCAGGAAACAGCTTCTCTGTTCTCGCGCTCGCTCCCCGTCAATTCAGCTTTTACACAATAACACACAGAGAAGCGTGAGGGGACACACAAAGATATTTTGAAGGCAGGCAATTATAGATCAGTGTCAAAGATTTACATTGTAGGAAATGTTCAGCAACTGTGAATCTGAAAGACATTAGCTGAAATACTTGGAAACAAATAGTGTTTTTCACCAGCTATAAGGTCTGTGCTCTGCATTCAGTATTAAATAAATCTATGTTGTACAAAGAAATACTATCATCAATGTCAATCAATTAACTTTGTGGATGCTATAAGTGCATTGATATATGGAGTTCCTCAGGAGTCAATATGGGGCCCCATATAGTTTGTTCAAAAATACAGAAATCTAAGTAATTTGCAAACAAAAAATAATAAAATTTCTAAATAACTGCCATCTTTTCTCACACAAGCATCCTCTCACAGACTACCAGCCTTAGGAGACAGACGCAGAATGAGTGTAAAGTTAATTTACACCTGGTGCTCTCCACAGTCAGAGTGCTAAAAAAGAAAAAAAAAGACGCTCAGAGGATAATTTCTCTGTGGGAGTATAAGCAAGAAGCTGAATTTTATTTATCTAACAACCAGACAGGAGAGGAGGCAGGGGGGAGAAGAGAGGGGGAGATGTTCTAATCATCTTGTTATAAGCCTGCAGCATCTTATCCGTCATGCACGTGGCATTATTGCCAGTTTGGATAAATGGCGATTGCTTTTAGAGCGAGGCTAATCTAAAGGCTAATTATCTTTGTCATAACTTGCCTAAGTGCAGTACGGTTATTATGCAAACGACAACGCAACATCCCCTTCTGCTCCTACAGGTTTTAAACACCGTCTCTTCCCTCCATCACTTTCTCAGTATGTCATTCCTCGTCACTGTTTGTCCTGCTGTTGCGTCTTTCTCCTTCCTTTGTTTTTCTTCTCATTGTTTTTCAAGACTTATAAAATCTCCCGTGTCTCCTCAGAGTACAATATCTCTGCAGCAGCCATCGCCATCTTCTCCCTGTTCTTCATGACGCTGGGCACTCTCTGTGTCATCTTCTCCTTCGGGAAGGGTCGGGACTACCTGCTCCGGCCTGCTGGGATGTTCTTCGCCTTTGCAGGTCAGTCGTGTCACACAGTGTGAATCACAGGTCAGGATCCGTGTGAAGCTACCGTCTCTCCGTTTTCAGACTTTAACTTAGATTGAGATGTGTCCATGTGATCCTGGTACAAATTAAACAGTGAACATGAAGCTTTGTTGTTTCTAGTGGTTATATAATCCAGTAGATAAGTGCTCCACTCGTACTGTCACAGACTCAAAGTAAAAGAAAACTGACAGTCTTTGAGTGTAAATATGATGAAACTGTTTTGACAACACAATCACCACGCCTGCGAGTGAAGCATCTGCTTTTCTCTCTGTTTTTGGCATGCAGGCCTTTGCATCATCATTTCTGTCGAGGTAATGCGCCAGTCTGTCAAACGCATGATTGACAGTGACGAGACCATCTGGATTGAATACTACTACTCTGGTCCTTCACCTGCGCCTGCGCCTCCTTCACCCTCCTCATCCTCAGCGGAGGCGCCCTGCTCCTCATCTCCATGCCCCACATGCCGCGGAACCCCTGGGAGAGCTGCATGGACGCCGAGCCCGACACCTTAGATTAGACACCGCTGATGCGACAGGAACAAATCACAGAAAATACAAGTTTTGTACCCTTTAGCCCTTTAATGACTTATACCGTCCTAAATAGTTTGCATCAGTGCAAAGTGTTTTTTTTAAGCTTGATTTCCAACCTGTCCGTTGATTTTAGTTCAAGTTATTCAAATATTAAAATGAACATGAAGACACTTGTGATAGACACACAGATGCAGCTAAAAAAAAGTAAATATTGTCTTTACATGATAAAGCTTACGTCCTTGTTGGTGTGTTTAAGAGCTGATGGGTACTTTGGGTAAACTACAACCTATATCGTTTTTTTATTAACTTAATATTTGCTCTTACCCTTTTTTTCAAACCTACAGGAGAGCTCAGTCACTGCTGTAACTTTAAGAAACATCCCTTTGTATTTGTTTGTGATCCTCGATGTTACATAGGTTAAGATTTCCACTCCTGGTGATTGTTCTGCTTTTACGGCTGATTTGCGGATAGACTCCCCTGAAGATTGTGTTTTGACTTTTACTTGTTGATTGCAAATTGACAATCATTATTCTAAACTGCTAAAGAGTGAGAACTAAACAGTGCTGACATGTATAAATATTAATTAGATTGGATTAGATTAGTTTGCTGAAGCACTCACTACTAAATTGTGCAAAAAACAAGTTCTTTTATACGGATACAGTGATCTCCAGCAGCTGTGTCTCTATATGAAGGATGTTGGAGTAACAAAAAATGTGCATTTCATTTTCTACTTGTTTCCACTGTGACAGACAGCTGGATACATTTTCATTCAGGTCAAATATTCACTTCAACCCGTGGATATTTGGAGGTCCAGAGAGGGTAATTTTTTATAGGTATTCATGGTAACAATGAAAATGTCACAGTGCAAGCTATTAGTGGTAAATCATAAAACCTTCATCACTCGTTGATGACAACACCTAGATGACGTTAGTATTTGACAAAGGCCCCGTGTCCACCTAGTGTTTTCTCCAGGCAGGAAGCACTGCACGTCCGTCCCGTATCTATGACAACAGTCTGTTGACAACGGCCGCTGTATGACTGACACTTTCATTTGAGATCATTTATTTCTCGATCAGACATTGAGAGAGGAGGATGAGGCTACAAGACACGATCGGTTGGGAGGCAAAACTATGGAGATTAACATACTTTTTAGAAAAGGGATGTCAACAGAGCCTTTCTGAAAAGATTTTCAACTTAAGCGCTCAGAGCGGCCGGAACGCCTGGAAAAAAAGACGCCGGGCGCTGCGCTTTTTCTCCAGGCAATCTCTTTCTGCTGAGAACACTCTCTCCTCATTGTAAACAATTGAAAAAAGATGCTAGCGCTCAGTGGACTCGGGGCCTTGGTAAAAATAACACCATGCTGTTGAACACAGGGAGACATTTAATGTAAAACTGTTCATGATGGTTAGCAGCTAACACAACAACTACACGGCTTCATCATCTCTAAATGTGAGGGCGGTCAAATGATTTTAAGTTAACGATGAGACTTCAGTATTACAACAAACACGGTTCAATAAATGAGCGTCGATAAATACGACAAAAGGTCAACAAAAGAATGATGACACAGGACAACAAAAAGGAACAGGATTACATAATCATCTGTAATATTAGGCTTCAATCAATGCAGTCGTTTCCTTTTTCTCTGAGGATTTACTTCAGTCAATCTGAACCATTGATTGTCTAAAGAGAGATAATTACTTCAGGTCAGTGTTCATGACCCCTGGTGACTTCAGTCCTGCAGCAGAGATCCATAAACATTGTCCTCACAGCATAAACTGAGCCTCGGAGTTATGCTCTGCTTTCTGCAAATGTACTCTGCTTTAAGGCTCCAAATGAATAAATTAAATGTTAGAGCATGTACACAGAACACTCAGAATGTAATTCTTCATGACCTTTACTCCTACCAAGAATTTCAAAAATCACAGAATATTTAGTCTTTGCATATTTTGTGTTTAATGTTGATATTGAAAGTTATTCTTTTGTACATAAGGAGCACAGTTTACTGAAGTAAAAGTCCCTGTGTGTGTGTGTGTGTGTGTGTGTGTGTGTGTGTGTGTGTGTGCGTGTGTGTGTGTGTGTGCGTGCGTGCGTGCGTGCGTGCGTGTGTGTGTGAGCATACCTGTCCTATGAAGTTGATTCTTAAGAACAACTGACTTTCTTTAGATATTTAGCAACAAAAAAATTAGTGGCGCTCTGTTTCTGTTTGCAATGATCGCCAGCAGAAGCGCACACTTACTGCAGGGTTAGCGTGTATGTTTACTCTTTACTGTTTACTCATCTTTTTACCCTGCAAGCTACCCGAGAATATGACATTTGTAGTAATGGAAAAAGCTGACAATTTATCAAACTAGCACAAGCTAACTGCCGATCCTTTGCACCTGCCTGACTCCGCGTCGGCAGGTGAAAGCCAACAGCACAAGGTTCACCCTTGTTTGAGAACAAGCTTTAACCGCTTGGCGTTTCACATCACTATGATTATATTCCTTTACTGTTGCAGCCATTACGGTGTCCGCCATATTGTCTCTGCATTTCTTAGCCACATCTGAGTTCTGCTCAAATATTTCTGAGAAGTTTGACGCTGATGACACTTTGATATTCCTCTTTTTTTCAGTCGCTGTTTGTGACTGTAAATGGCGCTGTAAAGCTAAAAGCCTTCTGTCCTATAGACACCTGTATAGTTGCTCTTTTATGAAAACTGTATTCCAATGTTCAGCCTGTTTATTTAAATGACTTTAATGTTCCCTTTATAGAAGACCTTTTCTTTTCTAGTCCAAACATAAAAAATCAGAGTTCACCTGACAGCGGTCTTTTTTCATTCGGCTCTTTCTCAGAGCAGATTTTACAAAAACACTCATCTAAGTCTAACCTGTTATTTTACGTGAGTCACTGTGGCCCTGGATTCATTCAGCTGCAGCAGGTGGTTAAATCAAAGCTCCATAAATGACGCTGTTTCATGCAGGAACACAAACAGAAATGATTCAATTTAGCCCTGAGAAACAGTTCTTCTCTTCTCAATCACAACCTGACTTTGTCTTTGCACAGGTTTGTACTCTGGATCATCACACCTGTACAGTTTGTTCATATTTCATATCATCCTCAATGACAGAAGGATGCCTACCATCATTTTCAGCTGGACAGGTTGTAAAAAGAAGAGACGTGTGACACAGTGTGGGCTGTAAGAATAGTTTCATACACATCATTTATGCAAATAAAAATCCCCCTGAGTTGAGTATTAGCTGTAGAGGACACACCTGATCTTTTTATGTGATGTTCATTATCTGAATAAGTAGAAGTCTGTTTTTGTCTTTTTTTCAAAAGAAATACAATAAAAATTACTCTGAAAAGGTCGACAATGATATCGGTATGATTTGTATGCGCTGTACAATTTAGTCGATATTACACCTTGGTGTAAAATATGTTTGAATTTGACGAGTTTAACATCTTTTTAAAGTATGTATAATATTTGTTCCTGTGTGTTTTCATCGCTGTGGATTCTACGCCCACATGAGGAAGGTCAACACTCTTTTGTCCATGCAATAGTTTCATATTTTCATCTAAAAGCAAAAGCAAGTCAATTGTATGCACATCTATTCAGAATAAAAATGGCATCTCGAGTGTTTTCTCTTCCAAGAAATCTTCTACATCCCTGTGTCATTTTCACAGAAAAATGTGTTTGAATTGAGACACAAACCTATTGGAAATGCTCCTGAGAGCTGCAGGTGAGTGGCTCTTCAGGAGTGGATTTTAGAGATGCATGAGGCAGTCTGCATCATTCATAAGACCTTTACCTCGGGGTGATGAGAAAGCAAGCACAGCTGGATTTACTCTCTGCCTCCGACATTCATTCAGATCACTGCACCTTAAGATCAGCCCCTCTAAAGGTTTAAAATCAACAATCAATACAGGTGAGATATTATCAGTTTAATATCATGCCTTCAAATAACACACTTAAATCTGAACGCTAACATGTTGGTCATCATACATTATGCATATTTAAAGGCTGCTGCACAAGAATTCTTGGTAGATTATATGGAAATTGGCAATTAGTGAATTCATAAAGCTCGAGGCTCGCACATCATTTTGCGCAAAGGGACATGTGGCTATTTAAATAATTCAAACCATGAAAACACACAAAAAGACGAATTAGGAGAAAAAACTTTGTATTTACTGTGGCATCAAACTTCTGATGTACGAAGTTTATTAAAAACAAAAAGAAGACAAAAAAATTAGGTTTAAAAAGAATACCTGGAGACACTGGAATCCCAAATGCTTAATAGCCTTCTAATTTAAGGGCAGCGGTTCCCTATGGGGGGGTCACAGGCCACCAAGAGGGGGGTCAGGACTTGTGGAATACCTTCCAAAAAAACTGTATGTTTTACACATTATTATTATTATTATGAATTATAGACAAAAAGGCGTTCAATGTCAAATAACACCAAATCAATCAGTGAAATGAAAATTACATTAACCTGCAAAAATACTTGCACTGTATTCTTTAGTATTATCAGTGCTCAGATACTAGAGCGTGTGTATGTAGGTACCTCCAGGGACAGTGAGGGTCCAAAGTCTCTGGAACCCTTGTTTTGGGGATGGCAAGCTGAAATATTTTTGGATCCCTTGATTTAGAAAACTGCAGGAGTTCTTTTTAGGAGTTTTGTGCAAGTGTGACCACAGCTTCTGTTATACTTTGCACCACATTATGTAACTGCTTTTATGACCAGTTGAAATGAAAATCCTCTGATGTCAAGGTTTCTGGTTTCTACTCTGATTCTGACTCAGACAAACCGTTCAGGGCCGCACTTAGCTAATTGTCACATGCATTGCTGATGTGTGCAGAACAAGGCAGATGTCAGAATGTGATGTTTTGGGTCAATTAAGTTTTATTTTCCATCATACAACGTCTATGTATTTTTACCTTTTTTAAGTTTTTGTTTAAAGCTTTATTTTTGGGTTTTTAGTCCTTTATGTAGAGATAGGACAGTGGAAAGAGAGTCAGAAATCAGGGAGAGAGAGAGAGAGAGAGGAGAGAGACAACATGCAGGAAAGGAACCACTTGGAGGACTATAGCCTCTGTATGGGGCGCTCGCACTAACCGCAGGTCTACCCGCGCCCCTGTATTTTTTTTCTTTTTTACAACTGAATTTCCTGAGGTTTTAATGCACTTTGGCCTGTCCTCTGTGGCCTGTTTCCTCAGAAACTTTTAGACAATTGCATTGGTGTGAGTCCCGAATACTAGAAGAAGAAGCAAACAATTTGCTGCAATTTCATATCTTTACCCATGAATGTGAGACGGAGGCTATAGGTGCAGTCACAGAAAAGCCTCCAGTTCGTCTCACCTACAGTCACTTTGTTGATGAGGCAGGCTGATGTTCGCAGGAGTCATCCGGTCCTTTGAGTCACTGCTACGAATGTAACGCTGTCAGTCCCTTTCCTGACCTCTGACTGAGTGCTGTCAAAGCTGTTACTATTCTCTGCACACAGCAGTACAGTACAAGTATTTTCCATTCAGCTGCGTCCCTCCGAGAGAGACAGAGTGTGAGTGAGCAGAAAAGGTTTAAAAATCACGGGTTAGATTTCTTCTGAATCTGGTGGACAGAGAGATGAAATGAAACAGAAATGATGGACATGAGGCAGATATGATGACAGTAACAGAAAAAGCCAATAACACCCGGAAAAATGTGCAGATGGACACAGCTTGGCCGTTAAAGCGGTCGACAGAACATGATCCTGAAAAGAGCCGTGAAGCTCTGTCAGCAGCAGCAGAGAGGAAACAATGAGAGCTTGAACACCAAGGCCCAACCAGAAGTCACAATATTACAAGCAGTTGTGAGAAACCGGAGTAAGATGTATACATGCCACAGTATCCCATTTTCTTTCAGAGTTCTCCAGGTAGCAAAATCGGGTTTCTCCAAATTGAGATAAGGGCTTATACAAGTTTCTGAAATCGGGATATGATGTTTATATCATATCCTGATTTCAGAAACATTTGATGGATCGCTGCTGCAGGACTGAAGTCACAGTGCGACACAATTCATGATGCTTTGAGTGGCTGACTTCTTAGAGAGCAGCGTTTGTAAAGACAGCTGATCCCCTCTTCTGAACTAATCTCTTCACCTGAGGGAGAGAGCTACAAGCACACTTAAGTACTACTTTCACCACCTCTCTCTCTCTCTCTCACACGTCCTTTCTTACACTCTGAATATGTATGACTGTATTTTCCTTCAGTCCTTCCTGCCTCTCTTTCTCTTTCTGACACTCTGACAGTTTCCCCCCCATCATCATCATCATCATGTCACACTTATATTTCTCCATCCGTTCCCCACTTCTGCTTCAAATTCCCAGTACTCGCTCTCTTTTTTCTTTTGTCATTTTCTGTCTTTGTTACACACATTTTAGTTTCTTCATGTTTGTTTCCTGTCAGCAGATGTTGCCCCCCCCCTCCTGTTTTCTTCTCCTTGTTCTCTCCCCATATTTTCCTCATTTTCCCTCTGCTGAGTCTTTTTATCCCCCCCCCCCCCCGTTTTTGAAGCTTACCTTTGGAGGAAGCAACAGTTCAGCTTTTCCTCTCTGTCTCCCCCCTTTCACCTCCGCTCCCTCCCTCCCTCCCTCCATCTTTCCGCCTCAGCGCTCTCTCAAGCAGCCACTCTGCTGCCTAACGACTTGGATCGGTGGTGACTGTTGAGAGGCGATAGACCTATAATAAGGCAATCCAAACCAAGACTGTCGGCGTTCTACCAGTGCTGCGTTTGCACGCTGCTCTCTGGCCTGGAGGAGCTGATGGAGAAGGACGTGGAGATGAAATGTTGTTAGTGTTGAGATAAGAGAGCTTGAATAAATCACAAGTGTTTGCTGCTTTTGTGGTTAAAAGAGGAGGGAGAGTCGCTTGATTTTACCAAACATGGAGGACATTTTATTTAGAAAAATAATAGTCTGCAGAGGAAAGATAGAGGAGAGTTTTTGATTTAAAATATATGAATAATCTCTGACAGTCTCAAGCTTTAAAGTACACGTTTATGCAAAGAGTTTGATTTACTTATTCTATGGTTTAATTAAGTTATTATGTAATCTCAGAGTCAAGCAGCTTTCGACAAATAATAATCAAGCCTGATGAATAAAAAACAACTATAAAAGCTTGAATTTGTATAGCACCTTTCAAAGGACCTAAGGGCACTTTACATCAGAACACACAAACAAAAACAACATATAAGCCTATATACTGATATGAACAGTACGATATAAACACATTAAAAACCCCTCGTCCTGTGCCTCCACTCACCAAAAACCTGATTATCTCAAGGACAAGTCCAGTAAATATCAACTGAATGCTCCGAAACTGTCTGAGTTCATATTTGAAAACAGCTTGGAGTTGCCATCACTGGGAATTTAAATGTGTTAAACACAAGGCTCACATGGCTTTTGAATTACTCCTGATGTCTACAGAAGTGCAGGAGTAAGACATGTCACGTCTGTAGTCTTTGGGGTGTTCACTTTGGAAACTTGTCATAAAACCACCGATAATAACAAACAAAGTGTACTCGTCAAAGAAAACAAATCTGTCCCGTCTCAGTCTGTTCATGTTCTGAATTCAAAGTTGATCATTTACGTCATCTGACTTCTGTTTCCACATGATGCTGAAGAGACTATTCTGTGATAAAATGCATCGGTGAACTATATACTATATATCTATGAACTTGCCCACAGGTTATTGTAATTAGGTTATCATACTCTAAAAGACTATAAGAAATCACAGATTTATGTAAATCCATTTTAAAATAATCTGAAATCTCCTCCTTCTGTCTTTACTTTGGCCGTAAACTCGGTTCTTCTTACCCAGACAATTCTCTCTAGATTGGAGGAATCCTTAAAATCGCCAGACTAATGCTTCTTTAAATGATAAAACCAAAACGTAAGCATGCTCAGACTGTGTAAACATATACTGTAGAAAGGAAGACAAAAACTATGCTGCTTCAGGTCCTGCATAATTTTCTTGCCTCCACACACCTAGCTGCCAAGTGCTGCGTAAAGATGGCATGTTTGTGGGATTGTTGGTTCTGGAAGGACAGAGAAACTGTCAGATGGTGAGGAGGAGCGGGTTTGAAAGCTGTTTGAGACAATGTCAGTAACGGATCACACATTACAAGTGTTGTTATTTACCTGCACTGATGCTTATTGTGTCAGACGAGCTCACAATCAATAGTGATGTGATTGACGTCTCAGCGGAGCAGCACAGGAAACGTTTAAAAAAACAAAAAAGCTTTTGCATCTCACACCCACTGGGTTAATCAGAGGAAGAAGCTGATGAGATATCTGACCTTAACCAGCTTCAATCAAATGATGAAGTGTTCAAA